CGCGCGTGCTTTGAATTTCAAATAACTCCGCGGCTTTTCTTCGATCTCGCAGCGCCCAACCTACAAAGAACTAAGGAAACCATTCGAAATTCACCGCGAAAGGTATACACAATTCGCGTTCGGATTAATAATGTAGTCGAAGGGGGTGGATCGGCCGTTATAAGAGAGCGAGAGTGTGTTTCAAATTAAACCGCAAGTCGTGCGACCGCTACATCGGCCAATAACTCTGTCCAATTACGGTGAAATACCTTCCTTTTCGACCTCGGTGTTAATTGGAAGTAGCTGCTGGGGCCGGTCTCTATCCCGAATTAATTCTAACCTGGCCGCCTACGGGAATTAGCTGCGAACGTTAATGGAGACGAACGGTACCTTTACCTAAACCTTACCCCTTTCGTGCTCTTTCAACTTTCTTATTAAAACCTAAAAAGTATTTATCGAAATATTTACCGGCTCCTCCGCCATTTTTTTCGTTTACGATAATTTCATAACTTTGTCACAACCAGTATCATATTCGGTCAATAATTCAACCTATTAGCTCGAATATCGTTTACAGTAGAGAAATTTAAACATATTTGTTTAAGTAATTTGATTTCTCATAACACAGAACTTTTGTTAATGCGGATTGAGTGCTTGATTGGAGATAATCGTATAAGATGTAAACGTCAGACAAGATTTACGTTGTAACGTATCTTATTAATTATTTAGAAAGGTAATTCATTCTGACACGCTGTGATTAAGCCCTAGGTTTGGAATTACACCTACAGAGAGTGTACGTTTTTGGAGTTGCAAACTTTTAATGTGTATGCCACCATTTATACAGGGTTATCCACGACGACCATCCATTAGAACTTTACAGGGTTCTGGTCAAAATACAAATTTGAAAATTCTGATTTAAGAAGTATTATCGACTTCGACTAAAATATTTTCAAATATCTAATACTTCCGGTTATACCGGAAGTCGCCACCTGCTTTATTTTTTTAAATGGAACACCCTGTATATTTTTACATATTTGGAATTGTCTGTTTTCAAGATTTATGAATGACTTTACTTTTTGCAATTTCATTCGGTCGTTCTCGAGTTATTCGAATTTTTCTAGAAAAATCTGCTCCAGCAGACATTTGTTCAAAAAATCAGAGAACACTCGATTTTTTGGGTATCAATTTAGGATTCAGAACATGCTTAAGCAACATGATGGAGTATGTTTTGGTGTCGAGTATGGCTGTCTAGAACGTTTGGTCACTTGTAGCGTGCTGTGGCAGCAGCTCCATTTAAAAACATAAAATTGTATTTCATTTGTTATTATTTTTATATTTGCACACAATTGTTTTTGAAGCAAAACAGAACAGACGCAAAATAAAAAGTCTGTCAAAAAGTTAATTTTATAATTGTATTATTATGTTGGCTAATACCTCATAGCCACATTTGGTGACCCCAAACAAAGCAACTCGCAACCTGGAAAATTCTTCCCCCAGTCCGATTAAACCAACTCACAACCTGAAAATTATTCCTTCAACCCGACTAAACCAGCCCAGCAAAAGAGATTCAACTGAAAAATTCAAGAATCACCAATTCAAGAATCAAGAAGAACCCAAGCAGAATCCATTCAACCGATTGAACTGTGTCTTTCTGTTCTTTCTTTATAGGAGGGGAAGTGGATGTAGCGTGCTGTGGCAGCAGCTCCATTTAAAAACATAAAATTGTATTTCATTTGTTATTATTTTTATATTTGCACACAATTGTTTTTGAAGCAAAACAGAACAGACGCAAAATAAAAAGTCTGTCAAAAAGTTAATTTTATAATTGTATTATTATGTTGGCTAATNGAACTTACTGGACCCAGCCACCTACAGGAAGATCAAGAAGGACCCCACAGACAAAATCGTTAGAAAAATGAAGGAACTGATAAAATCCACAGGAATTCCAGCAGAACAGCAGAAAGGTTTGTTTGTGCAGGCGCCGGTACCACCAAGAATCTACGGACTACCGAAGATTCACAAACCAGACGTCCCCCTCCGCCCTATCGTCAGCGCCATCAACTCCCCAACATACCAGCTGGCTAAACATCTTGCAAAGATTCTGTCCCCCTTTACAGGTAACACGGAATCATATGTCAGGGATTCTACACATTTTGTGGAATCGGTAAAAGGTGTAAAGCTGGATGCTGGGGATATGTTGGTAAGTTTCGATGTGGAATCCCTTTTTACTAGGGTACCAGTTACTAGAGGGTCTTCGCCGAAAACTCATTCCGGAGGGTTTACCAGGATACGTGCCAGATCTGGTGGAGTATTGCTTATCGTCGACGTATTTCAGCTGGAAAGGAGAATTTTACGAGCAGTTCGAAGGGGCAGCCATGGGATCTCCACTATCGCCAGTTAAAGCTAATTTCTACATGGAATTATTCGAAGAGGACGCTTTGAAGAAGAGCCAGTGGAAACCAAAACTATGGCTCCGATATGCGGATGACACGTTTGTGATATGGCAACATGGTCAAAAACGGCTCCAAGAGTTCTTGGATCACTTGAACTCTCAACATCCTATGATTAAGTTCACCATGGAAACAGAAACTGCCAAAAAACTACCTTTCCTAGGTGTGTTGGTCACCAGGACGACAAATGGAGATATAGAACTTGGTGTATACCGAAAGAAGACCCATACCAACAGGTATTTACAGGCATGTTCACATCATCATCCCCAACAGAAGAGGTCCGTGATCCGTACATTATTTCAGCGAGACTATGCGAAGGAGAGAACTTGAAGAAGGAGCAACACTTTCTACGAGGCGTGCTGCAGAAGAATGGATACACTTCGAGGGACATCAACCAGGCCATCAAGCAGCGAAAACAGAAAGAGGACACGGTAAGTACAAAAACTACTTGGATTTATCTGTCTTCCCTATGTTTCAGGTGTAACGGAACGAATTGCTAGGCACCTCAAGAAGAATGACATCGTAGTGCGGTACGGCATGGTCAGCAAAATTCGGAACACACTCCCGATAGCCAAGGACAAACTAACTCCATTAAAAGGAGCGGGAGTCTATCGAATATCGTGTAGTTGTGGGAAGGTTTATGTTGGCCAAACTGGGCGCAATGTCGAGTGCCGCATCAAGGAGCATGAGAAGGATGTAAGGCTGAAGAAGATCCAGCAGTCGGCGGTTGCGGAACATTGCCATGCAGAGGGGCACCGAATAGACTTCGAACAAACAAAGGTGCTGGCTAGGGACAACAGATACTACCAAAGACTGACAAGAGAAGCCATAGAGATTCACCGACATAAAAATAACGTCAACAGAGAGGATGGCTGGGAGCTTAGCAGAACATGGAAGATGGTGGTGAACACGAAGACCTCTTCCCGCCTCACACCGGACGCGACGCAATTAGTTATTAATTAGTTTGTAATTAGCGTTAACTGATTATTAATTAGTTTTTCCGACTTATATATAGTTACCGATTTTTTGATCTCGTCACTTCGAACCAGTTTCTGAAGAAGGTTGCAACATGGCATCCGAAACGTCAAACCTTTTATTAAAAGACGCACGGCAAAACCCGAAAGTTTCTAGTGTTAGTTCTAATCTTAGTTTAATATATAGGGTGTTCCATTTAAAAAAATAAAGTAGGTGGTGACTTCCGGTATAACTGAAAGTGCTAGAAATCTGAAAATATTTTAGTCGAAGAAAACGCAATTAATAATTTTCAAATTTTTGTATTGGCCAGAACCCTGTAAAGTTCTAATGGACGGTCGTCGTGGATGACCCTGTAGATAATTTACTATAGTTTACTCTAGAACTAATTTCTTGTTCTAGGTCTAGTATGGTCCCAGTGATCCCCAGGTAGATTAGCTTCATAGTTTTGATTGATTGCACAAAATGCATAGAATCTCTCTGTCAAATAAAAAAAAAAAATAAAACTTATTGTTAACATAAATTGTTCTTAGAACACCTGATGTAAAAAATGAACAATGAATAATAAAAACAAAATCGAAAACATATTCGTGATTAAAAAGAAATACAGCATTTAAATTCAAACAAGTTGAAAATAAAATATAAACGTTTTATTCTACGTTTAAACGATCTCACAAACAAAAAGAAGCGGGTAAAATCGTGCTAAAGAAACTCTTCCACTTTAAAGAATAACCTCATCTTTCCTCTTTTTCTTTTCCAAAAACAAAAAAAAAAGAAGCGCTCGAAAAAAAGAACCCTTAAAGTGTTGGTATGGCCTCGGACATTAAAGTCTTAGCATTCGTTTTTAGCGGGATGCTGGTGGTTTCGTGAAGAGCACCGATTAAAAGGAAACTCTAAACGGGGAGAGAGTGAAAGAGAAGGGCGCCCCATTCACTAGAAGCGGCAGCAATCACGTCTGTTTGTATCCGAGTCGGCGGATCGCAATCAACGAGATCGACGTTCAACGATTTCGCCGATTGTTATTCAATTTGCCGTCAGCCAATTCCGGGGGAGTACACCCGGGGTGCAGATACAGTTACCTCCCCTCGAGGGGGCACTCGTTCGTCCGTTAAATTCACTTTGTTTTGGATCTCGTTAGTATTAAGTCGTATTAAGGGCGCACTAAATGTGCTTATAAAGAAGCCTTATATACATATATATTTATATATATTTTTAGAATTAAAAAAAAATCAATTTTGAATTAATGAATTAAAATAAAAAAATAATCAGTTTAATGTTGGATTGATTTTTTTTAATCGGCGAAATTCGTAGTAATAAATAAATTAGTGTTTGTAGTTTAATTGATAAATTAAACCACAACGTTATATCCAAAACGGCGCAATTAATTCGTTTTGTATGTAAATAAATCCTGTACCATAAATTTATAAATAATCAAATTAATAGACACATAACATAAACATTACACAAATTCGATTAATATTTTACCCCCCATCAAAAATAAAGTTGCAATAATAAATCTTTCCGACTTGTTTAACACCGAACACATAAATAATCGTTAAAAACTCATTTTTTAATTTATTTTTTTTCGTTTTTTTTACTTACGTGTTTCTCATTTTTTTCGGTTTGGATTGCCGAGAAGCAAGCAAAAGAAAACAAGAAAAATTGTATTGTTCACTCGCGTGTCACTGCGTCCGAACAAAAAGTATCAGAAACAAGGTAGATAACAATTCGTTCGCGTCGAGGGACACGCGTATGGGGTGCCGTTTTGTCGGTTTAGGAACGATGCTGATGCCGCGACTCCTGGTGGTAGTTGAAAACTGAGCAAGCGTTGTGCATTGCCTCGATTTGAAGGGCGCGCTATTTTGCCGAGAACCGACGACGCTCAACCGAAAATTTACGAAGAAAAACTATACATGTTACAAATTTAATGAATATTTAATAAGTTTTGAAACAATTTTAATAAAACTTTTAAATAATTTTTATTTAAAACCCGGCTCCTCCGCCAAAATTACTTTTTAAACTTCACTTTCAAAATAAACATAAATTTTAAAGTAATAAATCCATATCTAATAAATGATTTGTGATGTCTATAGACGTATAGAGTGGAGAGGATTTATTCGAACAAAACAGAGGCTTTTATTTTCCATATCATCAGCCGGACCACCATCATTTGTCATGAAAGCAGACATCCGCCGGCCTACTGCCGATGCTATCGAAATTATTTATGGCTCCGATATGATAATTTGATAGACGAGACCGATCCGGTCCACGTTTGCCAGCATATAATTTCTGTCCGCCGTTATTACACCGCACGAGAACCCCCACGAACTAAATTATACCCCTTTTTGTGTACTTAAGAACGTTTTAAAACAAATACATTATTCATACTTAAACAAATAATTTAATATAAATCGAAGCAAAATCATATTTCAATACATTACACAAACAATTAACTTAATACAACTTTAAAAAGTACCTCAAATTTAAAAAGCTTGAATTTTGGCGCTTTGATAAACTTTCAATTTTAAGTTAACGAGCGCCATCTCTGAATTGAATTTGTAAAAATAGTTAGTAAATTCTTCTATTTCAACAAAAATAATAAATAATCACTTTTATATTTACAATTGTGTAATTGTCATTAATTAATTTATTAGTTATTAACGGAGAAATTTTTAAAAAATAATATAAAAAGTTATTTCAAACTACTTATATAGTTCAACCGTTTAATTTTAGATGGCGCGCATATACATGAAACCCAGACCTTGTTCCAAATAAATTGCTTTACAAGACTTTGTATTAATCATAATCTAGTATTCATCAAAACCATTTTGTGACTGTTCTTTGTGCTATCTAATTCATTTTTAAGTCGGAAATTAACTTTTCTTTCTAGTTGTTAAAAAATTGTTTAAATTGTCACATTACTTGTTAGGTTGGTTGCCTATACTGCAAAGATTTAACGTTTGATTTTCTACTTTTCATACCTTTTTACCATTTTATTAGTACCTATATTAACAAATTAATAAGTTTATTTAAATATTAGTACTTATTTAGTTTATTGTAAATATAATATTGTTAATAACCGAACAAAGAGTGACAGTTATGACGTCACATTCCATACGTGACCTTGAAAAATCAAAATAATTTTAAATGTTTTAATGGTGGAGATAATATAAAATAGATTTTAACACTACTTTAAAGTTATATATATTATTATATAAAACACTATATATTATATGTACATAAGATGAAGTAAAAATTCAAACAAATTTAAGTTATATTACTTATTAAAGTGGTTGCCTATATTGTGAAGATTTAGCGTTTGATTATTTACTTTTCATGCTTTTTTACAATTAAATTGATACTTATATTAACAAATTAATAAATTTATTTAAAAATTCCTAATAAACATAATATCGTTAATAACGCGATAAGAGTAAAGTAAAAATTCCAACAAATTTCGGCGTTCATATCATTTGTTAGATTGGTTGCCTATATTGTGAAGATTTAACGTTTGATTTTCTACTTTTCGTGCCTTTTTATCATTTTATTAATACCTATATCATTGACTATTTTATACCAGACTGCTAATCGCTACGTAAAAATTGGTAACGCATAAAGTGTTATTTTTGGATTTGTCCGCTATGGGGGCGCTGGTGGATTTTATAATAATAATGGATATGATTAAGAGATGGCAGCACTATTTTTGATTTATATTCCCCCTCTTATATTTTCTTGTACTAATAATAAAAATTGTTTAGTATTTCTTTTTTAATTAATAAATAAAATTTTATTGTATGAAAACATTATACGTTTTCCGTAAAAACCGGTTGTTTCTACCAGTTTATTTTCATTAAAAAATAATATTAATTTTTAGAGAAATTTTTTCAATACTTTGAACAATTTTAAGAGTTGTTCTATCTGGTTTTAAGTTAAGTACTTGGGGAAATCCCGAGATAACTGACAGGTTGTTTCCACCAGTTTCTACGGAAAAAGTTGGTAAAGGCGGGCTTAACGTCGCAGGCGGAGTTTATTTTAGTTTATTTGCTTTAAATATCTATAATTATTATTTAAAACTAGTTATTAAACCTAAAATTATTGGTCTTTAATTGTAAACAAGCTTTATCTTTTATTAATATTTTGAAATAATATAGTAATTAGACAAGGGGTTAAAAGGCACGGAAACAAAATATATTAAAAGGTCGAGCTTGAGCGGAGAGTAGAGGATTTCCATTAAAGTCCATCCTAAATAAAATATTGAAACATTTATTATAGTACTTGAGGTAGAGGTACTTCAGATAGAGATACTTGAGGTAGTGATAGAGGTACTTGAGATAGAGATAGAGGTACTTGAGGTAGGGGTACTTGGCTAGAGATACTTCAATGAAGTGGCGAACCAGTTCGCGTATCGTGTAGATCTAGCTTTATACAAGCATATGTTGTTTCTTCTAAGAAGAAAACCTTTCGGAAGAAGAACGCATCCCTGGAAGAGCTAGAGGTCGAGCTAGAGAGATAAAGATAAATAAATAAATAAACAAACAAAGATAAAATTATTCTTAATTTTTAAAATGTTATTTTCTTTGAAAAAAGTTAATGTCTTTTTTATGTATGACTCTTTATCCAACTCAACGAGGCCTGCATTTTTGTCTCCCATGGTAACAATACGATTTTCTATTTTAATTTTATGTTTCAGATTTTTAATGATGCGAAGAATTAATTTAGTATGGAAAGATTTTATGTTGACGTTCTTATTCCCACTCGTTTTCCCTCACTCTTTCACCTTTATCATCTGGCGAACGTTCCTTATGACCTTCAGTCCAATTTCATCCCTCATCATGTTGACTCAAGTTATTTAATTTTAAAGGAAATTTTAACGTGTTAATTGTAAGTTTAAAAATTTTCTTTCTTTTTTGATTTCTTATATTTAGTTATTATGGTTCTTTCTCTACAGGTTTGGTAATCTGTTTTGTCGTTAATTTTTAACATTTATTTTTAAACACTTTGAAAAACGAGATTTACGATGAATAGAAAAACGCCATTTTAATTTTTTTGGATTTTTCAATTTACTCTTCAAGTTTTTTTACATTTGAATTTTTCGTAAACGGAATCTTTTTGAAGAAATACTCTGAAACAATACTCTAGATGCTCCTACACCGACGGTAATTATATATATTTTTTATCTGTGTTTTTGTTATATCTGAATGTTTTTTAGTCCTGCCTGAAGAAGAACTGAAGAAGAATTTTTGTTAGCAGTAAAAAACCATACAACTTACCTAAAAAAAAACCACCAAATCGATAATATGCCTCTCCAATAGGCCCCGAGATCAAGAAAACCTTAATCCCTCGGGAAAAATCAAGCAGGTGCCCCAAATCTATGGTCTGCCCAAAATCCCCTCCCTCAGGAAGGCTGCTCCGGATCGGGGACAGTGTAGGACCGTTTTCCAAGTGGCTGACAAGTGCAGGGCGTCATCTCTCTTGTTGAAGGTATCGTTCTTCTCTATTTCGATGGACCCGCGGATGAGTCTGATGCTCCAATGTGGAACGTTGGCTATTTCCATATCTGAAGCTGCTAGTTTTCCATATATACATATACATAGAATAATCCTGCAAAATAATTTGATATTAAAATAGTATTATTTAAGTGTTTGCCTAACCTATCCTTTGATATGGACTCCCCCGCTGATAGAATGAGACTCATTCAGCTTGCGCATACTACATATCAATCCTATTATTCCACGTGGAAAATAACCATGATGCTCTGATCTCAATGAGAGTTAGTACTTTCATGGAGGCATTGTCGTTAGCGAGGCTTACAAACCCTCCAGCATGCCTATGAAGTGGGTATATTTGCATCATGATTATTTTCCACGTGGAATAATAGGATTGATATGCTGTATGCCCAAGCCGAATGACTCTCATTCTGTCAGCGGAAGGAGTCGATATCAAAGGATAGGTTCGGCAAACACTTAAATAATACTATTTTAATATTAAGTTATTTTGCACGAATTTTCTATTTATATGTACAGTTCTGTTCAGATATAATGCGAAAAGAGCCGCTCGTAGAGACATAAAATTGTACTAGAAACGACCTACGTTCACGAGGCATGCAATCCAAGTTTTACCTGCTCTGTAGTGAAAGTTGTACAAGTTCCGAACAGGCAAGCGGGGTGATGTGATTTATGGTCAAGATGACTGAATCACAAAGAAAAATTAAGAAAATAAATAAGTATAAACAATCCATTTACTTTACACAATGCCTGTAGTAAATGAAAATAATTACTAATAATTACTGTATTACTTTGGTAATATAGTGGAACGATAAGTCGAACCTCATAAAGAATAAAAATTATATATTGATAGTAAGTTATATATAAACTATATATTGAAATATATCGATAACTATTTTAAAATAATAAAATCAAAAATCAATATAATAAAATATAATGCTCCTATAGTATAACAAAAAATATAATATATTATTATACATATAAAATATAATAAATATTATAATAATTTAATTGGGGAGAATTTTATAAGGTCCATTATACCATCAAATATTATCAGTATTTTGTATTCTATGCAACATTGCAATCTGCTAGACATCGAATTTACTGCTCTTTCGCATGCACCCTTGTATGTCATTTGAAGGAGAGTTTCATAAAGCTTTATTTATAAGTTTTGTATTATATTCATTATATTACTGAGATTTTTATCTGACGTTGTGTTTATAGAAATACTCTAAAATCATTTCTTAGAGGATCATATAAAAAATCGTGTATTTGTTGTTCTCAAAAGTATCAAAAAAGATTTAAAATAAAATAAAATTAACGCATTTAAAAAAAGGGTGATCCATTCTTCCGCCCACATCAAACTGGGACGGTTTTACCTGGGTTAAGGAAGAGGGTAACTTC